TATCTTGCATGCAAAGTGATAAGTTATATATTTCTAAATCCTTGGTCCGGCATCTAGAAAATTTCACTCCGCACCTTGGTTCGGCTAGATGTGTTGCAATACTAACCCTTATCTTTACATCATATGAAGCATCGTATTCGATATTTGACTAAGTTATTACCTCGTTCCAATCAATACTAGCCTATTAGATAGTATACACCAAATTTATGTTGATAATTCTTTTCCTATTATCTACCTCCTTGTTCCGTCAAGTAGCATTAAGGCGAGTTCTAACGTTGGCCATCCGTTAAAAGATTTCTAAGTGAAAGAATAATCAATACATGCAAGACACTACTCTAGAATTGTTATTTTAGTTAGATTTTACGTCATTATTCGCCTATGGTTCCCACAACCCTAGTTATGGAGTTTGGTTACCCATAGTCATAATCACAATATTCAAATATATGATATACGAATTCATGCACTTACTTCAATGAGAAAGAGTAAAATCCGAAAGTTTGCTTGATTAATCAACAAAAATCACCAACAATCAATTACTGAAATTAATTGAAGAACAAAGAGTCTAACAAAGAGTCTAATAGTAATCAAGGGTCTAACAATAATCAAGGAACTACCCAAATAATCCAGAGTCTAACCTCAAAAATGAGGTTTTATGAACTATTTATAAAAAAATAAAAACCTAATTACATAAGGACTCTATTTGCTAGAAATCTGTCAAAACGCGGTTGGATCAACGGACATCGTGACGGATCGTCACGGTCACGACGGATCGTCACGGTCACGACAGACCGTCATGGACTCCATCATCCCATACTTGATGCAATTTCTTCTGCTGCTCTCTTTATTACCCTCGATAGCAGGTAAGACGACTCGTCACGGGCACAACGGTCCATCGAGGCTCCATTCCAAAACACTTGAACTCTTGGAATATGGGTACTGACACTACTTCTCTGAACTTTATGATGAACCTCCAGGACGTACCATAATGTATAAGATGATCCGTCACGCTTTCCGTAACCCCACACTTGGTCAGACTTCCCCATTTTCCTTCAGCAGCTGCACTACGCTGCCACCTAGCGACCGTCACGAGCATGACAGACCGTCACAAGCTCCGTAGGTGGTCTCTTCTGCATTTCTTCGCTCAAAAACTTCTGCATTCATCTTTGGACAGATTTCCTGCAAATAAGGAGAAACTTATATAAAAATTAGCACAAAAAGGCTTTTGGACACACTAAACTTAAGGAAAAAGTATTAATAATACAGTGAAACCAGGATATATCAATGTCCTTAAATGTTATGTGCATATACCCATACATAGTACATGTGCCATTCTAACCCCCATTATTTTATATCACTAAAACTGTAGGTTCTGACCATTGAAGATTAAGAAGAACGATTGAAGAAGCTTGGAACTCTTTCTTAAAGTGTTGGTAGGTCTTCATTCGGCGATGCTATCTTTTCATATTCTAGCTTATAAAGACTTAAGTAGTTTTAAAAATATCCTATTTCCATTTATTTCTTTGGATTCTTTTGAATTAAGGTCTATATGGCGTATTGACTATTTATTGGCTAAGTCCATATTTGTAATCTCTAGATGATTTTCTGTATGTGAGACAAGATTTAGAATATTGTATGCTTTCATGATTATTATGTATGAAGTCTAAGTATACTTCACATAGTATTAAACGTTTTTAATTTTCCGCAAATTTTAACTGATGACATGTTATGACGAACGCTCAGAGGCTTGTCTGAGTCCTCTAGGAGGACGACGACACCGATCATATATGAGGTGTACTTTTCTAATATGACAATATTGGTATCAGAGCATGAGGTTAAATATCATTAGGATCAATGTCTCACTAAATCACGTTACATAGTATCTTATTCATGGTTGTGAAGCGCGCCAGAAATGGACGAGAGACTATGTGATGACTAGGAAACTAATCTTTTATTGATACTACTATGTCATGCCTCTAGAGTTTTGACACTATGCATCTTTTAGCATCTAATCCCTTTCTTGTGGTTTTATGCGATGAACACAAGAAGGAAATCCGTGAGGAGAGTAGGGGATGAGATTGCAAAAGCAGGAGCTACTCCCCAAGGCAATCGAAATGCTCCTCATGTACAAGCTTCTCCAAACGAACAAGTTCGGTCAATCCTCTGGAGATGAAGGATGGTGAGGTAAGCGCATCCCTGTTTCAAATGGCCCAAACCTTCACCACTCAAGATCAGGCTATTACGGCACAAGATAACAGAGAGGTTGTTCCTCGAGAGAACGAACATGCTAGTACTATTGCTAGCCATCTGAGAGATTTCACGAGAATGAATCCTCCCATGTTATTTGGTGCGGATGTGGATGAAGTCCCTCAAGATTTCCTTGATGAGTTCTACACAATTTTTTTCTATGGGGTTAGTACTATTGAGAAGGCTGAACTTGTTTCTTATCAACTTAAGGATGTGGCTTAGACATAGTACAATCAGTGTAAGGATAGAAGGGTTTTAGGAGGTGGTACCGCGACTAGGGAGATCTTCAAAAAGGCATTTCTTGATAGATTCTTTTAAAGGGAGCAAAGGGAAGCTAAGGTAGAGGAGTTTATCATCCTTCGTCAAGGAGGTATGAGTGTTACGGAATACTCCTTGAAATTCATTAAGATCTTGAGAGTAACATGAGATCTGGATTGAGGGACTTTGTGAGGATGAATCCTCTTACCTTTCTTGGATCTAAGGAGTGAGAGGATCACCAATCATTCTTGGATAAGCTTTATAAGATAGTTCATTGCTATTTGTGTATCTTCTAGGGAGAAGGCAGAGTTGGCTTCTTAATAATTGAAAGAGGTTGTCAAATGAGATACACACAATGGAAAGACAATAGGCCAGTTGAATCAGGTCCTATATAGTGTTGAGAATTTAATAAAGTATTCTTAAGGAAATACTATTCCTGTGAGAAAAAGGAAGTTAAGATTGAGAAGTTTATATATCTTAGACAAGGTAATATGAGTGCGGAGGAGTACTATTTGACGTTTACTTTATTGTATAAATATTCTCCATCTTTGGTGTCTAATCCTAGAGATGAGTTGATTAGGTTTATGACCGGTGTTTTCGATCTTGTGGAAGAAGAGTGTCGTACGACATTGCTCCTTGGTAACAACCTTAAAAATGAACTAGGTTAAACTAGAGCTGATCATGTGTGTATGAGTTTATAAGGTGTAAAAATGGTGAACAATAGCTTTAAAAGTCAGTTTGAATAGTTTGTAAGTCAAATGTCAATGGAGGATCAAAACGTTCGGAAACTAGTCTTTAGTATGTGCTAGTGTGTCCTAGTATGTTGTACGTGTTTTAGGGTGTTGTTTGGAGTCTAAACTCAGTGAGGATGATCCTATCAAATAGAGGTACATGTTTAAGGTCAAAATTCCTGATAACGACTCCCCAAGGGCCACCCTAGGAGTCCCCGAGAAGGACCTGACCTTGGGCTAACAAGCTGCCCTAGGGAGCAAGAAAGTATTTGTAGAATAAACCACTCCATGTGGCGGATTGGGTTCATCAAGGGCTGATTTCTTGGTCCGCGTTGCGGATACATTGATGACTCTACTGTTTAAAAATTTGTTTCCAAAAATCTTGTGGGAGAAGCTTCGCGACATGGACTTCTCCCGGACGATAATTTCGAATATTCAAGTTAAGTTTGAGTTGGTTAAAAAGTCCAATTAAAGAAGTGGTGTTTAGGGTATTTTTGAGATTTATGATACATGGATTTTAGGTCATTATACACCCTTTAACCTAAGAAAAAACCCCAACCCTCAATTATAATCTAAAATTTATATGCTCTCCCTTCTCTCTGAATTCTCTATCTAGTCAAGATCCTCCATAGAACCTGCAAGCTCCAAGGAAGAATGCCGAATTCTTCAAGTTTTCAACTCTAATTTCGTGGGATTTCTACTAATAAGGTATGCTGATTTCATTCTTGATTCTTCTCTCGTAGAAGGAGCCAATTTCAATGGCTTTTCTAAAAGATCTCAAAAACCCGAAAACCCTTAATTCTAAGCATGGGTTGTTGCAATAAAATAAATTTATTATGTTTATAGTGATATTTGATGATTTTTATGATAAAAAACTCCATGAACTCATGTATTCCTTGAATTCCTAATTTTGACTCTAAAGTGAGTAGATTTATTATGGTCTCATTATGTTGATTTCATGTTTAGATTGTTTTGGGCCGAGGAATTACATGTTGATCATTGTTGAAATTTTTCTTAGATTGGCTTGTAGTATTATTATATATATATTGACATTTGTTATAGCATTGATATGAATGAATTGTTGGCGTAGTCTTATGTATATTATGATATGTAAGATCTCTTGTTTTGTGAATATGTTTGAAAGGCTAAAAAATGTTAACCGTAGCTACTGGAAAGTGGAGAGTTTCTCCAATTCCTTTGTTTATCATAGAATTGATATTGAATTGCTATTGATTGGTATGGTGTACTTATGGTGGCGGTGTTAGATTGTTATAATCGTCATGAACATTGCCTTGTCGACATTATTATGTGAATTATGGTATGATCGTGATATGGTATATTTGAAGTTATAAAGTGAAGGTTCTCATGTGATGTCTATATGATATTGTATGGGTGCTATAATAATATGATTGAGTATGTGTTTTTGTAGTTGTTTATATATGACGATGAACGACTAGGGAGATCCTTTATAGGATGATGTCGTATCTTGTATTGCTAGACTAGTTGTCCCTACTAGGTACTTGTATTGTAATGATTGAGTATATGAATGAAATTTTAGGATCGGTAGACCTAGAGTAGGTACCCTTCCTTGAATGATTAAATGAGGTGTTCTAGATTAAGTCTTGTACCGATAGACCTAAGCATTGTGCCCTTTCATGATGTGTCTAGAACCCTAAGTTAATGTGGAAAACGTTGAATAAGAAAAGAAAATGTTAACAATGTAAAACCTTGAATAAGAAAATAAGGCTAAAAATGTATAAACTTTTAATATGCAAAGAAGGCTAATAAGAATCCTTAATGTAAAATAATGAGATAGTGTCCTCCTTCAATTAACGCTTTCCTTATCTTTCACTGTAGAACTTTCTGACATGGTGAAGAGAGCTGAATAACCGAACATTCTCTTCTCCGGTTCTCTTCTCCGATACCGATTTGTGAGAAAACACATTGAAGAGTTGAAGTCATCGAAGAAATGATCTGGAGAGTTGAAGAGTTGAAGTCATCCAAGAACTTATCGATGAGCTTGTCTCTCTGATAACAATTTCTTCAAAAGTAAGTAAGATTTTCATTTTCGATACCTATTTCGCCAAGTGTAAGTACTAAAACAATCTTCTCGTTAGCTGAAGTGGTCCATTTTTGTGTGTGTTTAGAAGGAATTGATTATGTTGGGGTTGTTGGGAAGATGAACTGAAGCTAGTTAGTCTCTCTGTCACGCTTTTCTCTCAAATTTCTCACCAAAGAACACAATATTACACTGATTTTGTTGGAATAGGGTTTATTAGGTTAGAAATTCTATCTTTGAAAGTCTAAATTTTAGCTTTAGGGTTTTGATATTCTTGTGTTTTTATACGGTTTTTGGAGTGTAGCTAGTATTTTTGTTTCATGAGTTGATTTTTGGGAGTGTATATCGTATTTAAGCCTCCATATATAAACCGAGTTGATTTTTGGGAGTGTATATCGTATTTAAGCCTCCATATATAAACCTACCTCCTTGTCAATGTTAGGGGCGGGAAAAAAGTTGGGTTTTTTCTGATAAAAAAACATTTAGAATAGCTCAAGAAAATAGTTAAAATATATATATAGAAACAAGTTCAAGTAAGGGAGAGTTAAGTGTGGATAAGAGTATCACATTTTCTAATTCCTTTTGCATCAGTTTTCCCAAGCTTTGTTTGAGCCCGAGATTCTGCCCAGAATTCGCATCCATCGTTCGTGTTCGAGGCTCATGATGAAGATCAGTTCCCTGCTCGTCCGTTCTAATTCACTGCCGGAAGAAAGACAATGTTGTTTTCCTCATATTGCTCTTTTCGCCTCTTCTTCTATTTTAAGAGTGATATTGTGACGATTTGAAAGCTGTTTTGATAAGTTTGTATCTTTTTATTTGATTTATTTTTGAGTTGATGTTGACTCAATACGTGATATGTCTATCTTAGTTGCTTTTGCGGGTCTGATGAATGATTGTTGCAGGTATAGATATGGATGCAAGGAACAACTCGAGTATTGACAAAAGAGCATGCAGAAAAAGAGGAATGGTGTTTCCTTTCCATCCATTGTCACTTGCGTTTTCAAGTTGTCTCCACTTACCATATAGATAAATCACTAACTAATACAATGTTTGTTTTTTCAGAGTGTTGCAGGAGTTCCGAAAATAAAAGAGGGATATAATCCAGCTACTTGGATATTGGATATCACCATTCCAGCAGTTGAGGGTCAACTAAATGTGTAATTTGGAGACATTTACGTGAACTCAGATCTATATAGGTAATAAGAAAATAACATAGTCGTTTTCATTTTAGTTTCAGTGCACACATAATTGAAGTACAGTGTTCAAAAACATTTTGAGGATTAAAAATTTGAGTGTTGCTTCAGAGTTTCTTCTCCATCCTACTTTTTTGACACGGAATAATAATCTTTATCTGCCCGTCCGTACATTTGTGTAGTTTTGAGGAATGATTTCTATTATTTTTCATAAAAATGTTGTAGGCATACAAAGTAACCAGGAGAGATCGTTAAATGCAAGCTTCCTTGTGAAAACTAATTTTAGCAACCAAACTTTTGGAAGGATCCCTAGTGTTTCAACTTTCTCTTTCTTTCTTGGGAGAATGAAGACATTCTCTAGCAAAATCCTTTTACTTTTCTTTTATAATATTTGTTGGTTCATTTCCTTCTGTCAGCTACTGATTTTTTTTGTTCTGAAAATTTGCAGCCAGATTTGGTGCTCTTTACAGGCATGTCTTCTAAATATCTCCCATCTATTTATCCACAATGCATACTACATAGTTATTGTATTCTTTTAAGTACTATTTTTCATTCATTAGCAATGTTTGATTGGAAGAATTATCAGTTCACTTCATTTTGCCCTTGCTTCAGGGGATTTAGGGAATGAAAGTGTGGATCTGGTCCGAAGCATTACAGATCTAGAGATCACTAAAGTTGTTATTCTACGGAACTCAAAAGTTCTCTGGGAAGTGAGTCCAAAGTTCCATTTTACCAGACTGCTAAGAGGAAAAACATCACTTTCTCAATAATTTTCCATCATTGTTGGAATTCAACTATGGTAGATAGGGTGGTCGGATCAGTGTTGTTGTTTGATAAAGGTTGTTGTTGATAATGGCAAATGGGTTGACAACTGTGGTAGTGTGTGAGTAGGACTAATTAGCATTGATTTTGGTGGTAGAGCCCTTGAAAAATCATTGATAAATTTAAAGGATGTTTTCCTTGAACATAACGTCCTCAGAACTTCGAGCATTAACTGTGAACAACATCAATAACTTGAAAATATGAAATATCAAAAAAGGATGAAACATATTGTTAGGCTCATTTTTTCGGTCCACTTATTTGGCATGTCTGAAAAAATTAGTTTTCTCTAATGGTGAGATGTAATACCTCTTAACTAGTGTTTTGAATTCATACACTTCTTTTCTTTTCTTAGCATGTGCTTACAATTTGTAGGGAAAGAGATGTTCAACTTCAGCTTGAATGGTATGTCTTCCGAGATATATAATTTTAGTTTCAATAAATCTATACATTTATATATGCTAAATAGAATAGCGATGTGCTTATTTATGATGTTTAGGAATGTCAGTTTCTCACTCTGGCATGACCTTCCATCTTGTGTTCCTCACAATCTCAATACCACTTTGTCTCAGAAGTAAGGAAGATAGATTATAGGATAGGTCATTGCTAGATAAAAAATAAATCGCCAGGATCAAGAAAGGTCCTCTTGGTACATCTGCTAGTAGTTTGAATATGTGCATTCAACACATGTACCCAAGTAGGTTATGGAAAAAGAAAAGATCACGCAGCAGAAACATGTGCATGTCTGCACATCTAGAAAATATTTGTTGTTGATAGAAAATATAACAATATAATTATAAAGAATGGGAACTCTTTTATGGAAAACTATAAATTTATTCTCCACAAGTAATCCGAACTAAAACGTAGATTCTGTGTTTTTTGAATTAGTCTTTCTCGGCACCAAGGAGTCATGGTTAATATAACCCCATATCAATGATCAAAGATTGATTCTAAGATTCTGGCTCGTGTTGCAAAGTTTTCTCATAAAATTTAACTATCCGGCGTATGAATTTGTCAGATGGTTCAATTCGTTGGATTCTTATTTGATCTTGGAAAGTATTAGGGCATCAACTACTAAACTACATTGTATACAATTTTACTCATCATAATTGAGGGGAAAACAAAGAGTAAGATTGATTTGTAAGCCTGGTCATAACCAAAAAAAAATCATGATATAACATCGCTTCGTATCCATATTCTGAAGGACAATTTCCTTTTTTTTACTTTACCTTGTTATCTTCTTGATTAAAGAGCTAGATACCAGAAAAATGAATCGGACAGATAAGTCCTTCCCATAATAAAGGATTTCTGTCTTGACCTGTTTTATGTCCTAATATAATAAAAGAAAAAGTAACTTATACCGTAAAATCTTGTTGGCATGCTGAAAATTCATAATGTGTCAGTCTTGGTGATGAGCATGTTAGTTAGCGTCGGGTGGATCTCCCTGTGCTAAAATTGAGTATTGTTGGTGGACGACCTTATTCCGTAAACAACTTCTCCCTATATTGGCAATGTTTGAGTTTCCACTTTTTTGGTAGTACTTGTTTAGGTTTGCTATGTTAGTCATTTCTGATGTGTTAGGTCCTAGATATGGCTGCACGCTTCACATGTTGTGATCAGCCCTTGCTATTTATTTTATGTTGGTTTGAGGTTTATAATTGGGCTCTCTCTTGCAATGTGTGTGTCTTGACAGTATTGGATGAGTACGATGATTATTGCGCTTGTCAATGGGACAACTGCTTGATTGAGGAATATAGATGGTGGTGCTACTCAACTTATTATTCCTTTTCTCTAAGAAATAATGCATAATGTAAGGTCGGACTCATTTTATACTTGGAGAATGGCATATTTGTTTCATGGATCTCTTCACGCTGTTATGGAATTTTAGTGTTGCGTTATCATTAGATGTTTGGTATGTTCTCTCTTAGTCTGAACATGCTAATTCCTCCTTGTTTTGTCCAATTGAAGATTATCTGCTGAGTGCTTCTATTCTTTGAAAGAATGGTAGCTTTATGTTTATTGCTTCATGTAGTTTTTAGATTTCAATAAAGATACAATTCATGCGGTGTGACTTGTGAGGTATATTTGCAGATCGGTTTCAATAGTTGCTGGAGCACTTCATTTTTAGTAAATTTATTATTTTTTCTCTTTTATTTGTGGTTTACACTCTGATTATAACAAATTATAATTCAGTTACTTACTATATGGCTACAGACTATTTCTATCGTTTACTGTCTGTTCAAATATGTTCTTCAATTACTAACTCATCATCCTCAACATATATCACAGCCAAAACAAGGGGAGAGAAAAATAGTTACAAATGAAAAATCAGATGCTTGAAAGATCAGTTGGATGAAACAAATGGCCAGGAAGCTGTTCTGTATTGATTTAGGCAGAGGCATAAAAAGATATAAAGAGAAATAACAGTTTTTTCCAAATTGATTTCCAAGGAAGAGGAAAGTATTGTGTCAAAAGCTCCGCCTCATCTTCGTTATGGTGATCTGTTGCATTTCAAGACACATACATCCTTTTCTAAGAGGAACAGGTGTTATAAAATAGAACATGTATGAGGTATGCTCTAACATGCCTCAAAGACTTCACCATTATTTTAACCCTATGCACTTAGTCACACTTCTTACTATTCCTTCGATCACTGTTTCGTATTCGAAAGTGGAAAATGAAACATGTTGTGTGTCATGTGGATATGAAAACTGGCCTGTGAAGTTATATGACTCAAAGGCATATGGTCATTCTTATCCTTAGTTTGATCTTTGATACTCAAATTAGCAATCACACTTCAGATTTTGATATCTTACTCACTTTCGCCCCACTTCATTTGTTTCCAGATTAATCAAGGAACATTATGTTTGCTGAAAGTGATTGAGACCAAAGGTAAAGAACGGAGGCACATCTTGAAGTGGTACTTATTGAGCTGGATTAGGTGTTGCATAGCCCCTATATATATTACATGTTTTAAGTTAAAGATTATATTTTTTTTATTTAAGTCGAAAGTAATATGTCATATCCAATGATGGAATATAATTTCTGTTTGCTTATTTTGTACAAGATAAAACTATAATCTTTATTTAATACATTGTTCAGTTATCAATAAATATAAAAATATTTACCTTAATTTTGCTAATAGAAATATTAAATTTGATGTTTGATATTATTTATTGCAAAATTATATTGTTGTTTTTAAATTAGAAATTGTGACAAAAATATTTTATATACAAAATGATATGACCACACCAAAAAGTGTAGCTTTAGGACTTTAAATTTTGGTCTACACATAGGAAAGGTCTACACTTCAAAGTGTTGTCGTACATTAGATAGAAAAGACCACACTTCATAATTGTAGCCATACATTAGATAGGAAAGGCAACACTTGATAATGTGGGTAATGAGTAATTTAAGGCAACACATAAATTTTCCTTGTCTCTTCTCTTGTGTTTATTGGACATGAATACAAGAACGACGCCTGCAAGGAGATTGAATGAGGAAGTGGAGAATGAGGGAGTTCCTCCCAAGGTTCCACAAGGTGTTCATGTTCCTCAAGTTGAACAAATCCCTGTATCTAATCAAAGGAATGATGTTTCGGTGGTTCTCTTGGAAATGACTAATGAGAATGTTAGAGGATATCTTCTTATCCTAGTTCGAGTCATAACGGCTCAAGCGAATCGATATGTAGGTCCTAGAATTAATTCTCTTCAGAGTACCATGACCTGTAGGTTGAGAAATTTGTGAGGATAGAGCCTTCTACTTTTCTTGTCTCTAAGATGGGAGGGGATCCCAAATAGTTTTTGGGTAGTGTTTATAAGGTGTTGAGTTCTATGGGGGTGACTTCTAGGAAGAAAGCAGAGTTGGATTCATACCAATTGAGGGACGTTTATTCAAGTGTGGTACACACAATGGAAAGACAATAGACCGGTTGAATCGGGTTCCATAGAATGGGAAAAGTTTAAGAAGACTTCTTAGGGAAGTTCCTTTCCCGTTAGAAGAGAGAAGTTATGTTTGAGAAGTTTATAAACCTTAGGCAAGATAACATGAGTGTGGAGGAGTATTCCTTGAAATTTACCCTATTGTCTAAGTATGATCAATCCTAGGTGTCTAACTCTAGAGATGAGTTGAGTAGGTTTGTGACTGGTATTGCCGACCTTTTGAGGAAAAAAAAGTGTCATACGACCATGCTCCATAATATCATCAACCTATCTAGACTTATGGTGTATGCAGAAGCCATTGAGGAATCAAGATATGTAGGATAGCAAGAAATTTGAAGAGGGGTAGATCCTATTAGCAGAAAGAACGTAGGTTTAAGAAGAGGGCTAAAAATCAAGATATCCTTAATGCTCTTAAAGTTCACCATGATAGGGTAGTGGTTCTCAAGTTGTAAAGCGTACTTCCTTTACTTGTTGAAACAAGCACTTTGGGAAGTGTCTAGCTTTTACTAGCTGGTGCTATGGTTGTGGAGAAGATGATCATAAGGCATGTGGGTTTTCTTTGGTTTTTATCAGTTTTGGTCTCGCATCCGAAAACTTCAATCTACCGGAGATAAGTTTCTGAAATTATGCATTGCGAGAAAATTTCATACCTCGCAGAAATTAACCCTCGCAAGAAGATATTCATGACTCGCAGTAATTTATGCATCGCGGGAAGATATTCATACCTCACAGAAAATTATGCATCGTGAGAAGATTTCATCCCTCATAGAAATTTACGCATCGCGGGAAGATATTCATGCCCCGCAAGAATTCATGCACTGCTAGAGGAGAAATCGTGCATCCCAAAGAAAATATTTACCCCTCAAGATCAACTGCATCTTTATTTGGCGAGAGTGAATGCCAAGAGGATCACCGAAAGCAACAAAGAAAATATCAGCATTGCATCAGCTTTATTAATTTGGCATTCAATGAGAATACGTTAAAGATAATATTGCAAACGCAAGACATTATCTTTATTTGCTTTACGTCGAGTTGACGTCAAATATTGAGGAGAATGATTGAGTGTCAACATGGTAAAAGACACTTTCTCCCATTTAAGTTTCATTTTTATGCTGACGAGTTTTGTCTCAGTCTTTATCGAGAGCATCTGAAAGGATGAATTCTTCAAAACATAACCACTGGTGCGGACGACATCGAATAGGATGCAGCACAAAGAAGACCTTTTTTTTTAGCAGCGAACTGGGACATAGTCCAAAGAGGAGTATCAAAATCTTAGGACGCGAGCAGAGGAGTTACTTCCACCACAGTCAAAACACCTTCCTATCATAAGGCATGTGGGTTTTCTTTGGTTTTTATCAGTTTCGGTCTCGCATCCGGAAACTTCGATCTACCGGAGATAAGTTTCTAGTCAGAGTGACAATGCACAAAGAGCTTTGGAAATTATGTCCGTGTAAATTGTTATCTATGGATGTGAAGAGCTCCACCTTCATCACTAAGAGGTTGCAAGCCTCTTTTTCATAATTTACTTTATTTGTCACTTATCTATAACCAAAGGTTATCTTGCATAACATACTTCTTTTTCCACCGACTGAGTCGAACAACAAGCAGCCTGATACCTTCTGTTTAAAGATTTTTAGGCGCACTCAATGTTGAAAACTCGACTGTATCCAACATTCGATCTAAATCTCATTCTTTAGCATTTCGGTATGTTCATAATTCACTATCGAGGTGGCTTTTAAATTCTTTCGAAATTATGCGTTAAATCAAGTTTATAGAACTACAAGTAGCCTAAATTCTCATATAGCCTGAGATATGTTGGAAACCCATGTACGGAGATCGGTGATAATTCGTAAAGTCCTTTCCCAAATCCCTTTTTCCAAAAGGATGAATATGTGGTCGATCAAAATTGGCTTGGTCAAATTCATTTTCCTCGAATTTCTTGTATCAATAAAAGTAAAATGAGGGACAGTTGTTGACACCCACATTTGACCCTTGATGATATGAATTAATTAACAGCATCTTAATTCTACGCGATTTAAAATAATTAGAATTTATTAAGTTTAAAATATTTTAATTTATTTTTAATTTATGTCATCATCTTTTTATAATTTTTAGGAAGTGCGCATGTTTTGCATAATTATGTATATAATTAATATATTTCTGATTACTCAAAATTATCACAAAAAATATTTTACCTTGTTTAAATATTTTACTAATTAGCTTAGTCATATATGAGTTTATATTTTTCGTTAGCTGTTTTATAATCAAGTGGATTATTTTATCTTGTCAAAATAGAGAAGCTTGTTTATTAATTAATATTAATTCGTCTTGCTTAAGTTCTACACAAATTATTCAAATAAACTCGATTTGGTTACATTTTAATTTACTTGGGCTATTTTTTATTACAACAAGAGCCAAACTGTCACTTAGTCTCAACTCTTTAAAAAGGACCAAGATTTGGGCCCCTTTCTTTTTCTTTTTTTTATGAACCCAGCCCATTCATGAATACCCAGCGAAAATCCAGCGATACCCATGTCCCATCCCTTTTTCCTATTTGCATCCCACCAAGGTCAACCCAACCCTTTTGATTCGACCCACCCCAAGCGTCATCTTCATCCCGAGGAACTAATAATCTCAATCACAAATGTCCGACCCATATATGTTGTTCTCCTTCTTCCTGTTACGACAATTCATCAACCCGGCGCGTACTTCTCTTTCTCTACGAGTTTAATCTTGGGCGAGACCTAGAAATCACGTCACCTTATCCGTTTGTATGAGCTGTACTCGAATCTTCCAGGTGTTGAAATCTCCTTGTGCCTACGTCCTTTGCTTGAAATTGAACGAACCTCATTCTCATTCCGTTGAAAATGGTACTAATCCAGAAGAAACCTTACCCTTTGGAGGGATTTTGAAACTGAAATTCGAAAAAAATTCAATAGTTTTCCCCCTCTTTTTTCCCTAAATCTACCATGGAAATCCCCTATAAGTACCCTCTTTTTTTTTTCCACTCAAATGGTTTTTGGTGGTGCTTCACAGAGAGATGGAATTATTACAGAGAGGAAAAAGTTTAAGGGGTTTAAAAAGTGGCTAGCAACATAAGCAAAGATCCAAAGGAACATCATTTAGACACAACTATATATACCTAGGCAATAGGCTTCAAGGTAGGTGGAGAATCTAGATTTTTCCTTTTCTTTTTCGCTTACCTCTATTTTTGATCGCCGATACTCTCGAAGTCATATTTTGGAGGTGAAATCCTCTCCTACTCGTCCTTTTGTAGATCTCTACTTGAAAAGAGGTATATCATCTTTCATTCTTTCTCCTCTCTTTTTTTTTTTATCAAAATATTGGGTTATGGTTTGTGAATGACGAATACTTTCTAATCAATTTCCCAGCTTCAATGTGATTTAAGCTTGCTCTGTTGAATATATATATATATATATATATATATATATATATATATTTATATTCCCTTTCCGTTGCTCTGCTCAGAATAGAATGGTCTATTTATTGTTTTGTTCCAATACTAAATTTATTTCAAAATTGTTTCTAACTTAAAAGTTGCTACCAATCTACATTCACTTCTGATCTTCATGGTGGTATTGGTTTAGTTTTCAACTTTTTCTACTCGTCTTAGTTTACATTTAGTCATTGTTAATGTGCAATAATATTTTTGTAAGTTATTTCGCAAGTCGGAAGAATGAATCGAGACTTCAATATCTTTGATGTTTTCTTAATGTCTTTAGATTAGTTGTTTTGGATCTTTTGTGATTTGTTTTAATCCTTTGATGTGAAGTGTCGCCTCATGTTCATATGTTAATAATTGCATTTAACGGTTATCATAGTAGAATTAGGCAGAACCGATGTTGAATTTAAGCTATAACATTTCATCTCTTTAATCTCGAATAGCGCACCCTCTCCGCTCACTTGGTTTGTTTTCACGTCGTTCATCATGCTTGTCACTCGTTTAGTTGTTATTCATTCTGATTGGTTTCTATTGTTGTAGACATGATTTTATATTTATTCCATTGATTCACAAAAATATTAGAAGCATTCCACAAGCATATGACTAGATCGAATCTTTTGTTAATATCATTGTTTTATTGTCTACATGTTCTATTAGCTTTTTTTTATCCCAATGCTTGTGTTTCTTCATAATCTCATACATAATGTAGTACCCATTCATTGCCTTCTT